AAGACAGCTTACGTTTTTTTACATATAGAATATGACTTAAATAAAGAATATGTACAGTATGTTTAGAGTCAAAACTTTAGGTCCAACACAAAAAGTTCTCTCACCTAGAGCTAAAGTTTTAACTCTAAACATGTAACTACCAACACGGATGAACTTTGATGATAGTATAAAGAAAGATGTACTTTGGCAGTTCAGTCCATCAGTAAATAGCGTCAGTCCGGGTGGACAGGTGCAGTTGTAAGACCCGTCGTTATTTTCACAGCCATCAGAGCAGTCACCGTTATTGGTGGCGCATTCGTCGATATCTGAATTTTTTACAAAATCATGAAAAATACGTCTGGTAATTTCTAAGAATATTGAGTGATACGATTCAGCAGGAAAGAATTACCTGTCTGTGGACATAATTTGTGATTTTTAAGACATTAAAGAGACAAGTTTTTAAAATGGGGTAGGGAATTTTCCCGACCAGCCTCGTAACCCCTGCTTCTCCTATTGGGTCAGTTAGTCCTCACTACTTGTGAGAAATTGGGCTGGTCTCAATCTTGATGTTTCTGACTCAGGGAGAAGAGTTGCTGTTACAGTTCTACTAGGTAACCCGTAACCCAAGTGAGTGGCAATACCATTCAGGTGGTAATGCCACTCAGGTGATACCATTCAGGTGGTTAACCAACCTTGAAGTGGCCTAATGGCCGTGTTACGTGGCGACCACTAAGTAAAAAAAATCAGTAATGAGCGGATAAGCTTCGGATAATGACAACCCCACTTTTGTTTTTCAGCAAAATGTTTTATAAGAGCCACGGCAGTTATACCAAAAATGACATTCTTCTATTCACTGTCAAAAGTACTTATTACATATATCGGAAATAACAAACTGTTCATTGGATATGTTGACCGGTATATGATATATGCTTTAGAGATGCAAATAGGAAGAAATTATGTCATTGATTCAATCCATTTTCAACCAATCGTAGTCTCGCACTGAGCTCGCCAAATCGCTCTATCAGGGCAATATACCTCGCATCTGGTGCACATGCCACATGTTCCTTCTAAACCGTACCCAAATACAAGCCGTCCAAGATAGAATCCTTAATAGTTTGATACTATTAGATAGACGCAAGGTGTCAAATTTATGTGAACATGCTCACCTATGCAGTTCCTGTTGTCGGTTGGTGACATCTCCCAGCCCTGTGGACATGTACAATTGTACCCATCCGGCAGGTCAGTACATCCATGGGAACACCCATGGCCATGAGTGTAGATTGTTGTATTACACTCATCTATAACTGTATTGGGTGCAATGGCCAACTGTTAATACATACTGGTTTCTAGTATAGAATGGGAAAATAATGATTCCTTATTGACAAAACACTTGATTACTAACTCAAGAATTCTTTCCTTCAGAAGACCACGGATTGGACTGATTATTCCACAGATCTAATAGTATACAATAATTTGTATCCCTTTAGCTGGAATCTTAGGCGTATGACATCTTATTCTCTGCATCCCCCAATGATGTTCGTTCGTCCATTCGTCCCCCAATACACAACAACTTATCAACAATAATTATCAACAATGTCGATATACAGAAAATGAAATTCCAATCGTCTCATTGCCTTCAATTTGAAATAGAGTCTAAGCTTCTTCAAATAACTGATGACTCAGTACAACGAACCCAATCCCATCGCCTACATGCATCACATAAATAAAAATCATGAAAACACAAGACAAAGAACATAGATTTATACGACAGTACAGGTCAGAGTGGACTTACTGAGCTGATAGTAAGTGACCTCGCTATCAGTGAGATGGAAAGCTTCAGGATGCTGCACCTTTGAGGCCGTGCTGAGGATACATCTCGTCGTGGTATAACACGTAGTAGGCGAGTGGATAGGCCAGAACTCGACTGACAGGTACCTATGAGTTGGTGAATTGCTGATACATTCCATCAGACACTGTTCCTCTGTGACCCCTACCAACGTCATGTCGTTAAATCCAGTCAATGCAGACCCACTGAATCTTAGGAACCTGTCGAAAGGGTGACCTACAGCCAAAGCAAAATAAAAAGGGCAAACATGACGCTATAGATAACACGAACTTGTATGAAAAAAATAACCCACATGGGAGATGTTGTAGCAATGGTTAGACCACACCGACTTAATTTTATGGATGACATCCTCTGAAGACCCCCAAATTAGTGCGCGCGGGTGAATAAAAACAAATGCGCACAAACGCGCACGCACGCACAAACAGACAAAAATCAATTCTTCCCATATTTTCATGGAGGTAAAAATAAAAAAAAGCTAGCATGTCCAGGGCAAACGACACAAGAATGGGACGAACAAAGGACAGCCGCCGAGAGGACAAAAACGACGTTAACCTTTGTCTTCCCAAGACCTTCTTAACTTTTGCTGACCATAAATAGGCGGAAGCAGAAACGGACATGACAAAAAATGTACAACAATGTAAACAAACGTTCCAATTGCAAACAGGAGAGCGCAAACGTCGATATTTTGAAACTGACCAAATGGAGATACTTGACAGATGAACTTCCTGTCGGCCTGGGTACACGGTCCATCGTTCCATGTGTTGGGATGCATATGGTTTCCGGGCCAGTACTCGGCACAGTCCTCGTTACCGTCGCTGTTGGGTTCTCCTGGACCCCAAGGTCTGAAGTCGCCCAGAGGAACGTTATCGTTCCACATCCAAACTCCCTCCTGGTGGTGATCAGTCAGCCCAAAACGGAACCTCGCGTTGTTGTCAACGGCATTTTTCAGACCGACTAGGAACTCGTTGGTCGCAGTGTCGCGGGGCATGGCAAGGGTTCCCCCGTCTAAAGAACACCTACTGACTGACCCGTTGTAGGTTGCCGTGTCGTCGAAGGCCTTGTAGCACAGGCGACTAGGCTGATGGTAAACGTACGCGTATGGGCAACCTGTTTCAGAACGAATAAGGTTATATACTATCATCAGTATATAGGCTCTACGAGTGCTGTAATACTTCACAGAGTGTGAACTAAATTACTGGCTAAGATCTGTTACAATTCTACATATAGGTGTTAAAATAACTGATAAAAGTACTTATTCCATATGTCTTTGTTTTGCATGACAGAAAATAACAACTAAATAAACAACGTAATCTGAAACAATTCTAAGTAGGGAGCAATCCGTCCATTATTGTGGTGACTCCACTGGTAGTGTAGAAATACGGAAATTTAGAAAGTACTTACCGGATGCATAAACATATGTCAGTAGTGATGCGCCGAAGAAAATGATGCCGATGTACTTATTCAACGCCATGTCCCTACAGATTCTCACTGTCTATGTTGTCCAATGTGTATGACAGTATGACTAGAGGGAGCTCTACCTCACACATGTGGCAGTTCTGTGGCAGTTCTGGCAGTTACAAACTGCGTTTGCCGATGATTGTCCCCACTATAATCCCCTATACATAATATATCACCTACACAAAGGAAAGAATTTGTTGACGACAGTAGGATAGATCTCGCGTCATACGGTAAGAGGTAAATTGCATTTTTATAATGACACTTGATGTTTTGCGTCATATATATATTACAGAAATATTTACCTTCCGTGATGTTATATTCTATGTCTATAAGTTTTGTTGGGAAAAGGACTAAATTGAATTTTTAAAAAATTCAGTTGAAAAGAAAAAAAAGTATTGTAAGATGACCATTGCTCACTGTGTCGTTGAGGAGTCTTTGTAGAGAAGATATTTTTTTCTGAGGTATGATGAAATGGTAGCCTCCATAGCATGCTAAAAACTGGGGGTTTTGGGGGGTCTTCGTGGTCTTTGGGAGCTTTTATGTGCTATTTTCTGATCGCATATAGACAGCATAGCCGGCCTGGTTGAATTACCCCCGTTTCAGAAAACAGCCGAAGACCACCAAACCTGCGGCCCTCAGTTCTATAAGCCTGCTACGGAGGCTAGTGAAATGGATGGTTTTATTTCAGTTGGCCCGTGCAGGTGTGCATGGACTATAGATAGGCGCCACTTCTTGGAACTAATTTGATTGGAAGGGATGAATCACCTAGGATATTGGTGCAATTAGAACGAGTTATTCCCCTCAGAATGAACAATACGATGGGGTGAATCCTGTCACATAGAAAGGCACAATATGTTTACATATAATTGTAGGGTGGATATGTTTAGACGTAATTGTTGCTGTACTAATATCAATTTGGGTACGGAGAAAAAGACAACAAGACACTATTACTAACTTCCTAAAATTAAATTTTTGTTTAGCTATAGAAAAGGGATGCGTGATTTTAGAACGAAATACAAACTTATAACTCGTGGAAACCTTAACTTTGCTCACTGGTAAGAATGCTATAGGCTAATAACACAAACACGGCCGCAAAATGTCTGTACGCCACATGACATCAAAAGTGCTTTGAATAATTCATTGCTACAGGAAATGCTTGCCTAGCTCATCGCCGTGCGTTAGAGAGTATGTTAACATGTAAACTGAGGTGTTTTTTTTTATTTTGCACAAATTCCAAGTATGAAGTGTTCTAGGCTTTACCGTAGTCCATTGTATCGCGTAAGGTACACGTGGACCAATCAAACAAGGCATGTCTTGGGAGGGGGCGAAAAAACGGACTTCTTGGTGCATTTCCATCCTACATTGAAAGTATACGTAATACTAGTAGTAGGTAAAAATGTAGCAATTAATCCAGATGAAGCTAGAGATTTATATTATTACTCTTATATCCAGTGGTCATTGAATTTGAGGCAACAGATACACCAAAGGCCATAGACGATGTTCATGATTCAAAACTTTAACAATTGGATGCATACACTTTAACTTAGTAATGTTTCAAGGACATTAGGGATAAGCAAATGCCATACTACGGAGTAGGTAAATGATGGATGTGATATATACATATGATGGGTGCTTGGTCACCATGATCAATTAGTCAAAACATTACTGCATATACATGTAAATAAATATATCTCACATGACAAATATTAAGCACAGTGATTCTGTCCACTTTTTCATTCTAGTGTAGACCTTATATCGATATGTTCACCAGGTATGTGGATTGCGTTTCTTTACACCAAAACACCAACAAATAGATATTGCACCGATACCCTGTCCTTATTACAAGACGGAACTGTACAAGTTGGTCAAGACTGGAACAAATTTTCTACAGGTAATAACAGTTGTATAATAATAACTTTCTTCTTTTTAATTTTTTTTTCGTGCACCTTCCGGTATATATCTAATAGGACCACCTGAGGTACGTATACCAAAGACAAACATGTTTAACAAGCTCAAAAAAGCACAAACTTCTGTTAAAGTTGTTTTTTTTTACTTCTATAAACTCAAGGCGTTTTGAAAAGGACGTGAATCTATTTAGGAAAATTAAAGTATCGGTCTTTCTAAAGATAAATATACATTGAAGAATCACTATGCCTGTTCCTCCCTGTATGATCTGTGGATAATATAAGCACAAAATAGCAACATAGACCCGAGCAGAGTGCCAAGAGTGACGATCCCTAACATGAGGTAGCGGTTCCAGTCGATATCATACACCAGACAGGCTCCTTTAGCGTCACAGTAGCTGGAGAAATAGATGCACGTGAAGTCCATGGCCATTCCGAACAGGAAAGGACCAGCAACACCTGGAAGAAATACGTAGATTTTGTATACTGTGTATTCTGTTTGCTGGAAATATTAGAAGGGAAGCGAGGTTTTTTTTCAAAGTCTTATATAAATATCACTAGAAAGGTAACATTTGCAAGGCAAATGCATAATGTTTACGTTCGCATATTGTCTGCTCTGATAATTGTTACTCCAACACATTCATATATATGGTCAGACAGAAGTCTAAATCCCTCCTGCTATAAAATGGCAACATGATGTAACCCAACACTAGTTACCATCATGGTAACAGACACAACATTGGTTCAGGTCATTGAGGTCACTGTTTGGAGAAGAAGAAGAAGAGGAAGAAGAAGAAACTGAGCTAGACATGCTAGACATGCTAGACATGTGCGAAGGCTGGGGGGGGGGGGAGGGGGAAGTGCATGTGCGGAACGGAGTGAAAGAGCGCCGGTCAAGGGGAAAGTGGGGGTATGCCCGTTGTGCCAACGAGAGATCTCTTACTCTAACATGGCAAGGCACCAGAGGGCCTGCCGCCGGGTGTGGGACCCCGGGGGTGGGTCTTGCCCCTGACCAGGGCCGACAGACCAAAACGGAACGGAACGGAAACAATATGTTTTCCTTTGGTAAACATAATTATCAAGCTATTGTGTATACACATAATTCTGACATACTTCCTGATTGTGATACACACTGTAATGACCTTAATTTGATGATAGTCCCAGTAACTGAGATATGCTTTGTTACATTTGAATGATCTTTAAACCCTAACAGTGAACTTTTATTATGTTTACCGAAGGAAATATTGTTTTTGCTACGTTTCCTCTTCTCCTGTTCCAAATGACCAAAGACCTGATTTGTTGACGTCTGTCATCATAGTAACTGATGTTGGGTTACATAATGTTGCAATTTTATAGTAGGAGGCATTTATACTCCTGTCTGACCATATATATGAATGTATTTGAGTAAGAATTAACAGAGCAGACCATATTCGAAGGTAAACATTATGCATTTGCCTGGAAAATGTTACCTTTCCAGTTAATAGTACTTCAGTACTTGAGTCTAATTAGTTGATTCAGTTTGTTGACACCCTAACCGTATGTTTCTAAAGTTACTATTAGGTAAGACTTACCAACTGCCTTGACTGCAAACTGTATCATTCCAGTCGCAAGGGTGGACTCGTCCCGCTTGACAACTCTGAAAAAATAGGAACGAGAAGAAGTTAATAAAGAAAAGGTAGGTCGTTTGACGTAGGCTTATCACAACTTAATATGTATGCTGTTCTAATTTCGTCACAAACTGTAAGAAGTACATGTACTGGGCCATTCGTCTGACCATAGCCTAACTATATCGCGCGTCTTTAATCCTCATTCCACCTCTCATGTGTCTAGAAACTTTATGACCAACACCTATCAGAAGGTAACATACATATGTGCTAACATAGAACAATCCATCTCAGATTGAGATTGTATCTTGCCATATACTAGTAGTCGGAGGCTATGGTGACCGGTTTCTATGGTGACCGAGAACCCTGAACTCCTATTGGACTGCTTTTCGTAGTGATAAAGAACGCTGAGCTCCTATTGGACTACTTTTCGTAGTGATAAAGAACGCTGAGCTCCTATTGGACTACTTTTCGTAGTGATAAAGAACGGAGCTCCTATCAAACTACTTTTCGTAGTGATAAAGAACCCTGAGCTCCTAATGGACTGCTTTTCGTAGTGATAAAAAAACCTGAGCTCCCATTGGACTGCTTTTAATTTCGTAGTGATAAAGAACCCTGAGCTCCTATTGGGCTACTTTTCGTAGTGATAAAGAACCCTGAGCTCCGATTGGTAGTTCAGTGGATGAGATCATCACGAATTAGGTCACAAGAGGGCCCAATCTGCGCTTGACAACAAGGCTAAATATAGGTCTAACCTCATCCCCATTGTGATAAAAAATGCCAGTTCATTCCTTACCTCAGTACTGCCGTGATTATGGGTGTGAAGGCGAAGAACGACACAAAGGCGACCACGAGCAGGACGATCATGAGGAAGATGAAGTTGTGGCACTGCCCGAGAGAGTTGCAGTCGTTGGAGGCCACGGACCCGGTGTAGTGTTCCTTCCGGATCTTCATGGTCCCCGGGGGGATGCAGGAGCAATCTGTGTACAACTGGGAGCAACAGTAATAAAGTTTATATATTACAAAATATCATATATTTCCGAGCAGTGTTATTGACTTTTTGTGTATGCATTAGAACTGTGGAGGAGATGGTATGATGTATTGTCATCGGATGTCATGTAATGTCATTACGTATACACCTCTGAATTCCTACACATACTACCACCTGGCCTTTTTTTACCTTCTGTCATGTGTCCTGGAATGTCTGGAATCCGAACATACAAACTTCCCCTAAACCAGAGCCACCCGAAACAATACTTCGGTACCAGAAGTAACAAACTGTTACTGCAATGAATGATAACGATATTGTATGCATCCTTATACATGTATTGATGAACTAAATATGGATCGTGGGTCGTGTGGCGTAAGGGCAGTCTCAGCGTTCGGCTAGGAACCAAGAGGTCCCGAGTTAGAATCCTGTCGTGCCTCCGACTTTGTGCTCTTGGGAAATGCACTTAACACGACTTTCCTCACTTCACTCAGGTGAAAATGAGTTTGTCTGTTGTTCATTCATGCGTTGTTGGTGGCATACTAATAATTTGAAAAAGCTTGAGTGTACTGTCGCCATGTCTTGTAATAAATGTTGGAATAGAAAAAAGAACATCTGGAACATCTTACCATGACGTCCTTGTACTTGGTGTTGAGACTGTCCTTACACCCAGCGAAGCACTGGTTGAAGTACATGACCTTGTCCGGGCCGCAGACCGGGCTGAACTCCCGTGGGCAGACACAGTCCTTGTTACACTCCGCCTGCAGGTTCGCGTGGGGGAGGGGCTGTCTTCCCGACTGGGAACTGAAAGGTGACAGTTGAGGGTGATTCGAATGAAACACAGATTGGCCAAGACCGAAGACAGATTGGCCAAGCACACGCGCACGCATATACATACACAGACACATGCACGCACGCACACACACTCATATTCACACGCGCGCACACACACATACACACACACACACACACACACGCACACTCACAAATACATACACAAACACATACACACAAACATACACAGACACGCACGCGGAAACACACACATATGGTTTCATTTGATTTTATTGACGTGCCTTACATTACATATGAACCTGTCATGTGCATAAAATTAAATCAACGACTTATTCAAAGCATCATTGACCTAAACAGAAAACTCCGACTCACGCTGTAGCTCCGTACTCCGTCATGATGCCTGCGATGGGTACCGGCTCACAGTACAGGAACATGGCGGGGATGACAGCCATGGCCACCACCAGGAACAGCCAGGCCAGCAGCTGGATGGAGTTCCGTCCGGACACCTTACACAGCCGCATCAGCACCCCGGAACTCAGCGTGCCCAGCAGCGTGGCCGGTAGAACCACGATTCCTGGAGGTGGTGGGGTAATGGTTAGACGTAACCCGTGCAACTTACATGTTGATTTATTGCATGCTTACTTGTATACTATTGGGTGAATTGTTTTGGGTGGCTGATATTTGAGTTTGTGTGTGTGTGTGTTTGTCCGGACATAGTAGGTTGACAGCACGTGGGTGTGTAGGATTGATTGGCAGGTAGAATAATACGAAGCCAAAAGAAGATGCCTATAGGAATTGGGGGAATTCAGGAAGCCAAGAGTTACATAAAGACCATTTTCTTCGTAGAAGTCTTAAATCCCCCAATCCTTGTTCAATCAAGATAACACGGGCTTGGTGTTATCTTGATTGTTTGCTGCCTTTTGAAAAAAGACACAAAGAAACAGGTACTATAGAAACCAGAGAATCTGTACATACCTATCAGCGCACTGGCGTTCGCCTTGGTGATGGAGAACTGTATCTCCATATACTTAGGGATGTACATGGAGAAACTGTTGGTGACTCCGGATATGACGAAGATGGCGAGGAGGATGAGAACGTACACGCTATTGGTGAAGAGGCAACCCAGCGTGGTAAACAATCCTATAGGAGAAGGGGTAACATCCATGACATCCTTACATGCGCATATACAACATGCAATGAGACCCTGCGACTAAAGCTCCTGTCACACATTCATGAATTTGGTCTCCCGAACACTAGCCGAACGCCCCGCAACCATGGTTAGGAGTAGGTCGGAGCAAAGTCGGGCGGTGTTATTTTGTTAAGCGAATGTTTCAAAATGTTTAAAACATTCGAGGGTTGGTCAGGAGGCTCAGACATGTTCAGTTGTAAGTCAGCAGTGTTTGTGGGTCAAATTTGACTCAAATGTAACTCAAATTCCTTTCGATTCGTATCTAAAAGTAGGCGTTGCCTGACTGTATCTAAATTTTAACCGACATTGTTAACTGTTTCTAATTGAGTATTGTCCTTTTATGAGGGCTAGCCCTTTATAACAGCCTCCGGCTAGTTGGGCAGTCCTGGTTGTATATTTGTTTATACAGTCAAATAAATCAATTGATATCAAACGTCAGCCGAACGTGGTCGGCTGGCGTTTGAAGCAAGGTCTTGCTTGCATCATGAATGTGTGACAGGGCCTTAAAGAGAAGGTATTACAAAGACAAAAGCTCACCTTTGTCGGCCAGGTACTGCCGCTCTGCAAGAGACGGTAGGATCCTGGTGGTCTCCTTCAAGCCAACTTCGCGAGGCTTTTTCATCTTCTTTGGGAAGAGGCAGAGAGGCAGACTGAAGAAGAAGAACGCCGCGGCGAGGGGTAGGAACCCTAGCCACCACGCACCTATCCACCGGTCGTCAGTGGAGTCGATTCCTAGTGTTGAAAACGAAATAAAACGTTGATGATACGGTCCATTCTATGTGAAATTATACTACATTACAAATACAATTTGATATGGAAGGATGCCTACTAGATACAATTTGTAATAGCCCTACTGAGTCTTTTTATCCCTTATTTACTATATATCATTTGTATATTTAAGTACAGATCTGAATCAGAAATGTAAAGGACGTCGACTCACCAATCTTAGAAGGGCTAACAAAGAGAAAGTCCACGTAATATCGAAGTACAAAGGAACTGAAGAGGAGACCAAGAGCGTTGCCTGTGTTTGGAAGGACCAGCGCTAAACCTGAAAAAAAAACATTAGACATAGTATTTTACAGGAAAAATTGTCGTTGAAATAATGTCATCTGACACAATTGCTGCGCAACCGCGATTTTTAGTAAACTTAATTTTTGGAGGTCCGGGAGTAGACAGTGGTCTTTATAGTGACATCTCTGCTTAAATGACAAAAGCTTGCTATTAAAGTTTGTAACTGCATCTTAAGTTGAAGGTCAATGTTGTCACTTACCGATGTACAGTGGTGAGCTCTCCTTTGTCACGTGATCATCGATGTACGTTGTCCCGAGAGGCAACGCGGGAGCTCCACCAATCCCCATCATGAACGTCGCAACGGTCAACATGACGTACCAGAACAGACTCATCGAATGGGCCTGCTTGCAGTTCTCTATGTCTGTCGAATTTTGCGCCTTCCCCGGCGTACAAACCACTTTTTCTTCGCCTTCGTCGATGACGTGCCGAGGCATGAAGAAGTATGGCAGCGCAAAGATGACGCAGCTAATCCCGATCAACATTGTACCGTAGGCGATCCACTTGGGACGATGCGACCCCTTCTTTCCTCCGTAATACGACACCAGGAGGACCATGATTAGGTACCCCGCGTCGTGCCCTCCGTACATGATACCAGTGTACTTACTCTCCATGTCAAACGCCTTCTCTAAAGTGGCTAATATCCCCACTCTGTAGCCTATCGTCGTGTTGATCAGCACGCACACGATTGCCCAGATTGCCGCGAAAAGTTTGGGACTCGCGCAGCACTGGCAGCAGTCCGGGTGGCAGCAGCCGCAGCCGCACCTGTTCTCCGGTTTCTCCCACTCGTCCTCGGCGTTGTCTCCGAACAGATCCTGCAGACTGGACGAGTCCGAGTCGGTGCCGCCGACGAACAGTCTGCGGTGTAACGTTCCCGGGGACTGAGGCGGGCGTGGTTTGGGCTCTTCTTTCTTCCTACCCGCCATTAGTCTTTCCGTGTCTTCGTCCACCAGCGGTTGGAGGTCTATATCAGACATGGTGATGGTCTGTGTAGGAGCTGAGTACCTGAGTGACTTGAATCCTGCGGCAAACAACAGTGTACAGTGTTTTCCAAACAGTTCAAAATGTTAGGTTTTTATAGTTAGTAAATATAGGTTCTTATACCAGCCAGAAAAGTTCAAACAAAATTATTATATTATACAGTCAAACTTGTCTATGACGACCACCAATGTACCATGAAAAATGAGTCTTCTTAGACAATAGTACAAGTGGTCTCCTTTTCTAAAAAGCATGGTGATAAGAAAAGTCAGAACAGGAAAACCACAGCAAAATTGCCACCCATTTTACAACAGACTGCCCCCCCCCAATGACCAGCCATTTTCGACATTGCGCAAAGACCTCCATGCTGTCAAAGTAGACCTTATTATTTATCTAATTTATTTAGTTCAGAAACTATTGTACATATCAAAACGTGCCAATGGGAGTTATGGAGATAGATGTTTTGTCTCGACATTTAACAACCGCCAATACAATGTTTTCAAACCTGTCGTTCAGCCAGTTCATTGCTGGGTAAGAAATGACCTCCTGCATTAACCCTACCTAGACCGGGGGGGGGGGCTAAAAGTGCCCGCGGCAACTTTGATGTCACCTAGCGTCTGAACGGCTAGCCGTAGAACGGCCAAACTTGGTAACTTTTCCTAAAATATTGTTGGCAACAATTCTCAATCATTGGAATAAGATAATAATTTTGTGTGTTGCCATGGCAACGGGTTTCTGACAGGCATTTTTTGCTAAATTTAGTACTTTTTGTTTCAACAATAGAATTTTATGGGTTTTATGTCAAGTTACTCATGGTTTCTAATATCAATAACATCCTATATAATTTTATGTAAATTTTATCATTAAATATGCATAATTTATGCTAATTTGATGACGTCATTGGCCAAAATCCAAGATGGCGGACCATATCATTAGAACAGGTATATACAGGTTATTTTCATTAAAATTTCATCAATACTTCCATTTCTTTTTCCAAAAAAGGTTTAAATGAAGGTCTATAGTATGTTTACGATGTATTTTAGGCTTTATCATGAAAAAAAACTATTTTTGAAAATTCAAGATTGATGATCCAAGATGGCGGATATCTTAAATATGCATGACGTCATTTTATGACGTCACCGGTGTTGCTATGGGCAACATAAGACTTAGTACACCATAATATTCTGTCATAAACACTTTTGGTACAGTTATGTTGAATACCATTTAGTTTTCAGGGAAAAACCTATTTAGATGGTTTTGGCCAATAAAATCACATTAATGACGTCATAATGACGTCATATTACGTCATAACGACATAAAAATTGTAGATATGATAAATTTTTACTAGTACACCATTCTCTGAAAATTTGGTGGTCATACGACATACCGTTCGCGAGTTCTTAGGGGGGGGTCAAAAGAGCCCCCCCCCCGGTCCCCCCATGTCAAAAAAAGCCCGGTCTAGGTAGGGTTAAGTTGTTTTCAGACAAAAGAATGTCTGTTATGTGATCTTATTATAGAAAACTTGAAGGAGTTTTGACAAACACTTTCCCCATAAAAGTGGCCGTGTTGAAGAAGACTGGGTCACGAGTAGCTAACATCTACATTCCAAATATATAATTATAAACAAGCTCTTTAAACTAGACACGACACGTGAAACACTATATATATAAAGGATGATTGATCACTTAACATCTAAAGATGAGGTAATTTTGATTAATAAAATCTCCCACTGGTGATTAATTGGGATAGTAGGTGTAACTGATGTCACCTAGCTACATGAATGATAAATTAACCTTGATAGTCGGACGGAACCACCATTTAAAGACGAATCTGAAAGTATGAAATTGTTCTTGCTTATTCAAGCATAACACGTGGCAACACGCATCCGCGTGCACTCTAAAGGTCACTACTTTATTTTCACAACTTCGTCACCTTAATTATAACAACATTTTTGTTGGATCAAATGGAAAAAGTAAATTTACAAGGTTTTTCATTTGTCCTATAAACTTTGTGATCGGGAAATTACTGTCCGCGTGCAAGATTTTCTGTAGATATCATGAAGGTTGTCACCTGACGAAGTTATCAGACAACTCTCTGTTGCAAAATGGCCCCCCATCCAAGATGGCGTCTACCTGAATTTTGTAAACTTCACTAACACACGTGTAATATGTCTACCTAGAGGTGATTTATATTCTATAGCGATGCCCCAGTTCTTAAAGAATCAACTCAGTCACTAGTTAGATTGCACTGGCGTTTGATAAATAGCATACGTGTACAAAATAAGCTCCAATGCTAGTGACATCCATTTTTAGACAAATTCGCCAAGACCTGGCGCCCCCCCCCCCCCCTTCTCAATATTGTTGTTAACACTTGATGCATCAGAGACAAAACAGTTAACACAGCCCTGTTGATATAATCTCCAAGCAGATCCCTCTCGGTGGCAAAAAGACAGTATCAAATTGGCCAGGCAGTATCCATTAGCCAGAGAAGCTCCGCGGCCACCGACGGGTTGGTGGGGATCAGGACAAAAAAAAAACGCCATATATAAAAAGGTAACGATCTTTCCCCACAACCTCTGCTTGGAGAGTACTGTTGATAAAAGTTTCGCATGAACCCAGACGACTTACCTAGTCAACGAAGAATCCTTCAAGGATTGCCAATCTTCTTAAGTCGGCAAAATAGTAGGTAAAATCAGTGTGTTGGATAAGTGTTATCCTCGGACTCCAGTCGGAGACCCTACATGTAGTTGTGTGGGACTTGTTGAACCAGTTCCGCCCTGTGCCGACTAGCCTCCGGGGCACAAACGTTTAGGCCAGGATCCGTGTGACGGGTTTTTGTTACGCTCCACGACAAAACAACAATCACTGGTTACCGGAGCGTGTCAGCCAGTTTCACTCCGTGTTGTAGGGGGAATTCTCTCACCGCACAGTCACCTGGTGTTTGCGAAATAGACTTGCACACCGCAGTCATTCAGTTGCAAATTGGCCACACCAATTTAATTTGTTGGTTCCCAGGTATCTTAAAAAAATATATGAAGCGACAGGGCGAAAAATAACAGATCTAGGCATCCTATTACAGCCCCAAATACTACGATTGGAGCCATGAAGTCAACACAAAATGCTCGTTTATATTCAATAAAACAATGAATTTTTGAGCTTTTAATCATGCATTGATAGATGAAAAAAAAACTGCAACAACTTGGAAGAACAGGACTTTCCTCAACTGTTGGTAGCAAAATATGAGCATTTTTGACTTGATTCAGAACCAGAATCTTTTTTCCTTATTGCAAATGAGAAAAAAAAAATAATTTGGTGTGGCCTTATCTTCCGGAACTTTTTAACAATGTCAGTGATAAAGAAATCGATGTGGTACACATATAATTTGCTGTCGATATAGGATGGATAATCTTGATAAATTCTTCTCTTTTAGATGCCTATTCAGCTTTTTGCCAATTTTTTTTTTTTATTACATTCGATTAGAATAGTCAAGGCCACCCTGGTTTACGGGTACTCACCGCAGCGCCACCCTGCTTTCGGCGGCGGACAGGGAGTGGCGCCCCTGCCCATTGAGGAGCTGCAGACCACAACATACACACACAAAACTTGTACGCGCGAGCACCCCATCCAATACCCCTACCCCCACCGTGCTGGAGCCCTCAACCAATTGAGGTTTGCACGGAATAGGAACAAGGCTCAAGCATTCAATTTCCAACAGGTGGTATTAAATTAGTGACAACTCTTTTTATCAACCAGTTTAGACCGAATAGCTAAGGCACTAATAGAATGTACATAATTAATCCTCTCTTAAGACCTTTAACATTTGACTATATTGCCAGTTTTTAAAAACTATAGTCTTTTTTATCTTGTTGGTCTTGTAGATAAGCTGACAAATGAAAAGAATAGAAACTACAAAATGCAATAAGGGTACATGTGTAGTTTATTTCATATTTGGTGACTTCAAGGTTATAGTCCACATAATTAGAAAACAATGTTAGCAAATTGAGAGAGAGAAGAGGGTCTGCATGGGGGGGTCCTGGCAACGGTTAACGGTGAATTCAGCAGGGCCGATAACGCTTAACGGTAAATTCAGGACGGTCGGCAACGCTTAACGGTAAATTGACAGACTTTTTTTCGTTCGAGCTGCACTGGATTTGGTATCTCGCTTTGTGAGAAAAGGTGATCACTGACAAAATTACGTATATCTTACATGTAATGAAGCACGCATTAAAGGTATGTGTACCCTGTGTTCCCCACATGCCCTGGTCCCCGAGTGCGTCCACAAATAAAGGGGAGTCCGAGTCGACGTCAGCCAGCTTGCATTTTTACCCTCGCCAAGAAGGTTATGTTTTCAGTAGCGTTTGTCTGTGTGTGTGTGTGTGGGTGGGTGTGTTGTGTGTGTGTGTGTGGTTTAGCAAGATAACTCGAGAAGCAGTGGATGGATTGGAATGAAACTTGGTAGGTAGGTAGGACTTCATTAGACCTAGAAATGATTAGATTTTGGGCCCCCTGGCGGCTTTGCTAGGTACTGCAGCTGAACTTCCGGTTTTGATATCTCATGTTCTGGACATGCTAGGGTCACGAATTTTGGTTGGTAGATAGCTCTTGGGGTAGGGAAGAAGTGACATGAGTTTGGGTCCCCTAGCGCCTTGTTCTGGAACTGCAGGAGCATTTGTTGAAAAAAAATTGAAGGACGATAACTCAAGAACCGGTTGACGTATTGTCGTGATTTTTGGTATGTAGGTAGTTGAAGTGATGCTTGACATAATCAGATGGCAATTATGCAAATCAGGAGCTAATTTGCATAATTAATGAGGAAATTCTATAAATCTGCTTTGTTCGATAATAGAACTATGAAACAGTTGTGACATCTACTTGAGAACGAGAAAAACATCTGAAGATATAGATTATGTAAATGAGGACCTAATTTGCATAATTAATGGAAAATTCTTATAATTCCATAGTTGTAACTGCTGCACCCCAAATTTCATACTTGCCACATTTGGAAGTTAAGTGAAGGTGAACATCAATAAACATAATTTATTCAAATCATCACCTCATTTGCATAATTTATGAGGAAGTGCTATAATAGCCTTTTTCTTATGATAAGGCTGTCATTGGATGGAGAATATGATCAACTGATATAATCCATGCAAATGAGGCTCTTATTTACAAAATCAATGATTAAAATTGTATAATTCGTCACCCGCAAGGGTTAACAT